CATGTACGTGCAATACGGACATGCATTCGTACACAATACTGGTGGTCATATATAGTTCTTTGGTTGTACGGAATGGTGCTTTTTTCCCTGAAAAGCAAGATACTGTAGCAACTAAGTGAACATCTGCAAGTGACTAGCCCTCGACCTATCAGGATGCCAAATCTGTGGGTGATCGAGGTGTTTCAGTCATGTTAGTAGTCTTCAGTAGCTTGAAGGTACATGTACACACCAACCTGGATGTCCCCTTTGGGCTATAAGTGTATTCCCTACAGAATGATGTTAGAAGAGATTTACCAGTTTACAAATATTGAGTGGCGGCTCTTAGTAGATTTGAAGGAATACTGTCGCAAAGTAAAATCTGTATTTTTCTATGTCACCGGGTAAAATTTCTTAATTTGGAGACACTCATTATGTTTTTATGTACCTGTAACTGATATACCAGTACAAATCAGAGTCTGCTGCATTGATTACATGTACATGTAAGCCCTTAAAATTAATTCCTGAATGGACGCAGATGTACATGTAGGCACATCCGTTGACATCCTTGCCATGATTTTTGTGTGCTTGCCAAGTTGTCAAGTAGCATGAATTGGGTCACAATCTTCTCTCCAGGTTTTGGGTTTGTGCACCACCCTGGCCATATGGTGCCTCAGGCTAGTAGGGTTGGTGTAGGTACATGTTTCTGGTGAGCACAGTCTTTAATTCCTGCCCCCAAACCACATGCACATGTACAGTGTATACTTATGTGGTCTAACATGAATTTCCCAGTGCATTAGCATTACTAACGCTACTGGAAATAGTAAACTACATGTATATGTATGTACAGTCTTCAAATTATCTTGACAAGGTACGTGTACCTATACATATACATGTACACATGTGTATGTAAGCTGTGTATGATACTGTCTTTGATACGGTTTGTTGTGCATATTTTTACATACTGTCAAAAGCCTTGAGTGATGATTAAATTGGTTGTTTGATTTAGGTCGAAGAGAATTCAGTATTTGCTCTGATTACATTGTTCATGTTACAAGCATGCTAAAAATACCGGTTTCTGCTTTATAACACTCTGAACTGAACAACAAGTCTCATACTGGTACGGCAGTACGCCGAAGCAGCTATTGCTTTCCTTAAAATTTTTTTTTTGCAAGTTGGCAAAAAAGGCTTTCTTTTTGTTCTGATTTTTCTGGCTTTTTTTGCATTTTTCAAAAAAGGCATTTTTTGTTGAGATTTTTTCATTTTCGCATTTTATGAAAAAAGGCATGAATTCTTTTTATTGATTTTTTTGCTTTTCATAATTTGTGAAAGGCATTTGTTTTGTTCTTTTTTTTGCATTGTAGAAACTTTCCGTAAAAGGCATTGTTTTTGTTCTTTTTTGGGGGGCTTTTTTGCAATTTTGCAAAGAAGACATTCTTTTTCATTTTTTTGGGGAGGGGGCCTCTCCGCAAGTTGCGGAATAGGCATTCTTTTCATCAAGGTTTTTTTTTTGCTGTTTCGTTCACTGGCCAAAAGGGCTATTGTTTTCGTTCTGTGTTTGTGAAGTATAAGACACCTTTCCACAGACAGGAACAAAAAACCTCAAATTGCCTTTCTTTTGCCACAATTCTAACAATGAGCAATGTTACAGGCAGTTTGCAGTGGTTTTTTAAAAAAAATTGGATTAAGAGGGCAAAAAATGTGTGATTGTGTAATACGCATTTATACATGTCAATGCACCTGGTTGGGGAATAGGGGTTAGGGTGATTTTATTTGGTCAAAACATGACCCTTGTCAGGAGAGCAGTTTTTCGGCACAAAGAACTTCTCTTAAGTACACAGTTTGGTGTTATAAGGATTAAGAGAGATTTGCTTAATAGGTCATTAATCTCGATTCGAAAAAAGTGAAACAGTAACATCATGAAAAAGGAAAAATCCAACTTTTAACAATAACCGCTTTTTCTGTATTTTAAAGTTTCTACACACGACTTTTCGTCCTTGCTCTTTTCTGATTTCCTTTAAACCCGACACATTGTCAGAGTACTACCTGGAGATGTATGCCAAATCATGACGTCATTGTGATGTCCTCACCTGATTTATTGTAGAATTTCGAATGTTTAATTTTTCCCCATGTGTTTTGTACATGTTTTTCAACTGCCGGTATAACATAGACTTTGGCAACTCCACAAAATGAAACTTGGGCCAAGCAAAGACCGTACAGCATAGAAGGTCTTAGAAGAATGACGTCACTTAGATGTTATGAAATGAGTTATTGTGTAATTTTGAAGATTCAATTTGTCCCATTGACTTTGTACACATTTTCAAACCCATTGACTTTGTACATGTACATGTATACAGTTTATACAAAGCAATATGTCCATGCACGATCTACCAGCTAACCTTTGCGATCGACCTATGCTGACCTTAGCGTAGTTGCTAAGTACAGTTTTCGATATTTGACATGATTTTCGACATGATTTCTACATAATTGGCCTATAAGGTGTGCAAAATCATGTAAAATATCTGTGGAAATTATTAAATCTGAGATTTTATGTCGGGGCAACCAAAGCAGTACTCAACACAGTTATCGTCCACAGCACATCTACCTTTCATGGTCACGTCAACAATACAAGGATATTTTTGACGGGTCTGTGTTTTTTCTTTGGACATCTCGGGACATCCCAGGCCTGAAATTGCATGAATTGAGTGGTTATCGTACTTTGCTTGATCAGAGGATTCCAAGGTTATCCACAAAAGCTGAACTAAAACCAAATTCATGCACTGGAGCTGGAAATTGTAAAAGGAGTTGACACCGAATGCAGCATTGCAATGATGGTGAGCACCATTGCTCCATGAAGCTTGTGCACCCACCAAGCAGATGGTCATGATGATAGTGGGGCGAGCAGCTGGGTTTTGGAAGCTGGATGAAGTGCTGGAACTAGTAGGCAATTAACATTCTGAATTTCAAGTTTTTGTCTGCATTGTATGTGTTTTGTACATGTAGCTCTGCACAATGGTGTTTGAGGAAACATAACTGACATTAGCATTCAGTGTAGGCATTTTACACGCAAGTGGACAGTTTCGGTGCATCCCTGGATGGAATAGTGCCCTCTCTAGCTCTCTTGCTACCCTGTCCGATCCGGATTGCTGAGCACAATAAACGTCATCAAGTGCAGTGGACGCATAACCCCAACAAATATAAAAGCCTCCAAACTGTCCAAAAGCATCATAGCATCACCTTGCCATCGCCTGTGGACTCATGTAGCCGTTCTGAGATGTAGGTTTCTTCAAGTGGAAAATATGGTGAGTAAAAACGATTTAATTTGAAGTAGAATGTTGAGCATGACCAGACCCTATCTCGGTACGGTTTACTACATCATTAAATACATGGCCCCAGTGCTGGCTAATACCATGCTACTAGTTAAAACGTGGTTAAAGTATGGCTGCTATCANTCACATAATCCAGTTGAATAGGTTCCTGCAGCACATTTTTCCAGCCACAAGTAAAGACTTTTCTGTTGTCAGCATGTTGTGGTTCTAGGCCTAATTGTGTTTAAAATGTTTTTTTTGGGGGGGTTGATGGATGTGGCTCTTTGGAGCCCGGATACCTGTTTCCCCCCCCCACCACCACCACCAGTCCATACCAAATTAAAAGAAGACAGGTAGTTTAATGAAAATAATGTTCAATTTGTTTTCTTGCCAGCTGGCCCATCAACCGTAAGTGGAGACGTTTGGACAGTATGGCCGAGTCTTCCACCGGTTCCAGCAGTAGGCCTACTACATCTATTGCTGCAAGTGATGACACATCAGACGTCCAGGAGAACTGTGGTGTGACCGTAATGCAAACCAGTAATGAGGTTGGCTGCAGGAAATGGGACAAGAAACACTTCTGCTTTTACTGCGATGTACCCCAGGCCAAGCTTCCCCGTCATCTCCAGTCATGTCACAAGGAAGAAAGAGAAGTCGTTGAGATCGCCTGTGATCCCAATGCTAGTGTGCATAAGAAACTTCTGTTGAAAATTCGCAATATAGGTAATCACAGGCACAATTGTCAGTTTCTTCGTGAAGGTCGTGGTGTGCTCGTTGTTGGGTACAGGCCAAATCGTAAGGTATCTCCCCATGCATATGGACCATGCGTATATTGTTACGGCTTTTATGTGCGTACCGATTTGTGATGACACGTGTGCCCTTTGAAGCCAGCACCCCCTCCATACACTGACATCACCGGTAAGAGGGCTCGTGTGGGTGGACGGGTCGCTCACAAGAGTGATTTGTTGAAACCTCCTCCTGTTGGCATGTTGTTCCAGTTACACCAGGTTCTTAGTCCAATGAAGAGAGATGATGTGGCTTCGGTAGTCAAGAATGACACGTTGATTGTTGAATTAGCCAAGCGTGAATACATGAAACTAGGGCACGATGTAGATCAGCATGGCTACATCCGTAACAGTACGTGAATTGGGTCGACTCGTCATACAACTCCGAAAGAACACCCAGCAACCAAATGCATCACTTGAATCATTTGTCCATCCACACCAGCTTTCTGATATTGTGAAGGCCATGCACGATATTGGTGGCTTCAGGGAAGACAAACAGTTGGACGCTGTTCCGCGCTGAAGATTGGTTATTCTGTCAAGAGGTGTGCACTCGTCTTGAAAGGAAGTGCCCTAGAGTCCAGCCAAAAACACAAAGCAGAACGTGCAGAAGAGTTTCTGCAGTTGTGTGAATTGAACTGG